CAAATGTTCAAAGTTATTCCGTTAACCGTACCGTACTTTGAGTACCGTCACCGCGAGGACACCGGTGTCCTGTTTGAGAGTTTGAAATGTATCTGGCATTGGAATGTATCTGGCCAAATCAGCAAACACTAGTCCGTCGATCTCATAGAGAAATAGTGCGTTATATCATATCGATATGTAAAATGTATCGACAATTCGATAGTCATTAGTTAATCATTATATTATTGCATTTGTATATTCCTGGTATTAGTATAAATCCTTTTTAGGTTATATCATAACAATAATGACAAACAGTTGGTTTGCTTGCAACCGCGATTATAATGGATAAACTGATTTGCTATGATATGGTCAAGCGTTTTGTGGTATTATTTTCTGTGTTCATACATGATTGAATTATTATTTTACATGTTTGGAGTTTGTGACATGTAATGAAATTAGGTTGGATTCCTGACATGGGTATTTTACGCTAATTATTATTGAATTATTGTCTTAAACTTGTGTGTTAATGTGTTTGTGTGAATGTTTGTACAAGGGATCGGGATGATATTTGGAACAGGAATAACTACACTACAACCTATGGGAACGTGGGTGAAGTCGCAGGCAGAAACTAGTTTAGTATAAATTCTATTCATGTTTGTTAGTTAAACAACCATATACATAGGTTTAAATAACCATATACATAGTTTTAAATAACCATATACATAGGTTTAAATAACCACATTTGTTGATACAAATATCGAATAGATAACAGTGGAATCGGGAATAATACTTGCAATAACATATATATCTTCAAGTTTTATTTATTTTAACGTTTACGTCCTGTATCTTCCACTCGAAAGGCTTTAAGGTTAATCAAATGTAAACAATCTAGATGTATTATTGCGCTGTTCCAATCTACTGAACGGAATAAACTGAAAATATCAAATAAAACTACGAGAAATTGATAAAAAGATGAGAACAATGGTATCTACACTAGAGAAACGGGAGCAATTGTCATGATGACAGGGTATGAAAATTAAAAATATAATTAGTTCGTAAAACGGCAATGAAAAAATATTAGACACGTATTTTTTTTATTTTGTCGTACCTAAAATAAAATAATACTCAGATAAAACAAATCAAAGTGTTGGAGTGGGGGCTAAAACATCATTTCTACGTATAAAATGTACATAGAGGTGACGTCACGCGACATTTCAAATCAATATATCGTCGAAAGTATTCGTTTGTGTAAGAAAATAAAAATTACGTGTCTAATGATTTAAAATAATCTACCAGACGGACATTATAATAAAAATTAGGCATCTACCCTATTCAATCTTTAATATGTATATATTAACGTAAATTATACACATTGAAACATTAAAGACTGCCTCATTAGTCGAGTGGTCGCCAGTGCAACTGCCGGACAAGGGGTCTAGGGTTCGATTCCCGGGTCGGGCAAAGTACTAGTGGGTTTTTAAAAAACTCAGTAGTAACACGGAGTCTGGAAATGTGTCCAGTATATGGCAATAGGCTCACCCCCTATTACATGGGACTCATAACATAAAAAGTGAAAAGTGGGTGTTACATTGTACAGTGGCATTAAGTGCCGTAATGTGCACCTCTGCTTACCCCTTCGGGGATAAAAGGAGTGATGTTATGTGTTATGCTAAACATTAAAGTTGATTTTGATCACAGCATTAACTCGTCGAGTACCGGTTTTGTAGACACAATTATAGAACAATAGGTTGCGGTCACCGGTGACCGCTTGGTGTTTGACAGTTTAAGAAACTCGTCAATGATTAAAGTTGCGTTGGTTAGCAAAAAAGGTAAAGCGCAACTGAACACCCATAACCGTTTTTTTATGGAATAAGAGACAAACGAGCAGACGGATCACCTGATGGTAAGCAATCAGCGCCGCCCATGGACAGCAACACAAGGGGAGTCACAGGTGTTAAAGGACAAATATGGAGTATCTGGAGTCTCTTTGAAAACCTGTTAGACTTAATCGTCAGGTTACTGTGCATTCTGTGACACCTTAAAATGTTGTGCATTTGAAAATGTATTATTATGTTAGTGCTTAGATGATGAAGACCTAATGTAACAACTACTGGTAGTCCAAAATTATAAATCTATATAAATAAAAATGAACGGCTGAACTGATTTGGCTAATTTTGGTCTTGATAGGTTCATGGAAGTCTAGGGAAGGTTTAAAAGGTGAGAAAATACTTTTAGGCGGTACGAAGTCTGCCGGGTCAGCTAGTAAATAAATAAAAACTTTTCCGCTGCACTAGTATAGGTGAGTACCTATACTATATTTAGAAATTCAAGATTTTATGATTAGTAATAAAATTTTATTCCAAATTTGTTTTCATTAAACAGCATCAAACAGCCATACACCCAGATAAATTTTCAAATGAATATTCAGTAAGCTGAAGTGGTAGTGGGCCGGTCACATTTGTCAAAGAACCGATAACCGTTGGGGTAAACGTGTTCTAGAGTGGAGACCGCATCTAGGCAAACGCAGTGTAGAGCGCTCTCCTAGGTGGAGTGACGACATCCGCAAGATGGCTGGCAGTGGTTGGATAAGAAGAGCTGAAGACCAAGCTGTGGCGTGCCATTGGCGAGGCCTATGTCCAGTAGTGGACGGATACAGGCTGATGATGATGATGATTCGTAGCAAATGTATTAAAAACCCGGTTAGTATTTTAGCAACCCTATACCGCATTCCATTGCATACATACTTATGCATGTACCAACACGTACGTGCATAACTGCATACGTTTAACATCCGACCTCTGTTTGCTAGTAATACGTATTCCATATTATCCGCTTATTTCGTGTCCAATCAAATCGATATTCAGATATGTAGTTTGATTATAGAGGTAAATTGAGTACTATTATGAGTGTGTTAGGGTTTTTTATCGCTTGTTCTTTAATTTCCAATTAATTATGACTACTAGACGTAATACTATTGGTTTAATAAGTTTTTTTCTGAACTAATGTGAGACTATTTATTTAGTTTCAATATTGGTACAACAAAAAAACTCACAAAGTACGATTAAGTCTTTTTCAATATCTTTACAAAGGCAAAGAAAACTAACCAAAAGAATAACCTATTCCACGAATATGTATCAACACAAGAGTATCAGAATCAAAAGCGGAGATATTTTAAAAACATTTTCCAATATGGTAACCTCACAGGGCTTCTAACAGAGGATAGAATACGTTTGTGTCGGTGCACAAGGTGTAATCCTCTAAGACTCTAAGCGTCCGAACGCCCATATGTACAGGATCGCACACAACGGATTCACAACCTAAAAATATCTTTTTATTCATCCGATAAGCAGCTTGAAGTGTGGTCCACACAGTTTGTGTTGTGTTAAAACCTTCTTTGTTACAACTTAAAACTCTTTTGTATTATCTGTGGCTAGTGTGTGGAAAATGTATCCGAGATATCGTAAATCGATGGAATGCGAGTAGAACCGAAGCATTGATTATAGCAGTGGTCAGATATTTATACCTTACGATCTCTGTGGTTGATTCGCAATGTGTAATATGTAATAATTCAATGGGTAATAAAAACATATTAGTTATACAGAGTAATTTACTGGCAAATAAATATGTATAAACTCATTTAGGCACTATTTACCAAACATATAGTACACCACACCAACTAAATACTTTAAAATTCCCCATAATTATTTGTAAACATAATTTAGGTATAACTGTGCTAAAGTAATAACTCGTTATATCAAGACAAGGCAGAGTAAAACCACGTTATAATTTCAAAGGGACGTAAAATCTTAAGAATGATAACAAAATTTGCAAAATATTTAAAAAAGATCGTCAAAGCGTACAGGTACAACTCTAGTTCCCCAGAACGCGGGGATGAGTCGTCATAGAGACCGACTGGATCCCATTGAACAGATTTACCCTTATCTGATATTGTGAGTTGAATAGTTTATTCTACAAACTCGAGCTAAGAGCTCCTTTAGATACAAATCTTATTTTACTCTTGGGGTTCTATACAAAAATGATAAAAGGTGTCCCTTGTAGGTAGAACGCGAATACCTTTGTCGATGTCTAAATGCGTTTCCTAGATCCAAAATTTATTATATAGGTACTTTTTGTAAATATATTTCTATTTTGGTCAAGGACCATGGAACCAAGGCTGGAAATAATTTACTGTCTGGATTTCGCCTGGTTTAATCATGGGCTCACACTAGGCGATTACTAACTTTCATACATATAATTCTCATAGTTATAAATATGTTCCCAATATTTACGAGTAGCTACGCTGCTTACTATTAGTTGTACATATTCATTAATGAGAAATCATCGTTCCATGATTCCCGGACATCACTAATGAACGTCACATATCACTGCTGTAGCTAATTAATTCTGCGAAGTCATTTGCAATACAATAATCCCGATAAAAGCTCGTCTATTTACTAAATAAAATAAATAAACGCGTTTGAAATCATCTGCGAATTTAATAACAAACAAAGGCAACGGTGGGGGAAAATTGCGATTTTTCATTTCCAAGGAAAGCAGATTTAAAAAAGATTTTAAAACAATCATCGTATTGAAACACTACGCAAGTGGCGGAGCGGAGAATACAGAAAGAAACAAATTATCTATCTAGCTAATTGTCGACAGATCAAAGTGGAGGACGGGGGGATTGGCTAGGTAAATCCAAGTCGGTATTTTTTACACAGGAGGGGTGGGTCGCGGCCGCGGGCGCTATTCGCAATTATTGTTATTACAAAGAGTTTGTCTGAGCCGGCTCACGACTCGACAATTTTTCACTGAATTCATCCTCGCAACAACTAATTGCAGCGTAGGTTTACTTTGTGAATTAAAGACGACATCTACAACTATCCGTTACGCAAACAGCATTCATTAGCACGAGTAATGTGTGACTACTCATGTCCTAGCTCTGTAAAACCGTAACAGTATGAATCTCATGTTTGCTCAAAGGAAGAAAAATAAAACAAATATTATTAATTAAAGCTTACCGATGAACACGAAGATCTGATGGTGGGCGTACCGAAGCAGCATGGATATGGACACCGTCTGCAAAGAAAAACGAATGTACAGAATAATCGCACAGACAGTCAAACGAACCTTCTCTTTGAGATGTTTTTTCAAGAAGTTATGAAAAACATTCATACTTTATCCAAACAGAATGTTAAATGAAAACCGTATTTGGTTAAATTACTCTATATTCTAATTCTGAAGTACCTAAAACATGTTTTCTTGAATAACTTTGTAGAAGTTTATCACTTGAAGTCGACTCCCCAATAAGTAAAGCCGAAAAGCTGTGAAGTGAAAGAGCAGACCATAAATGTTCGCCAGAGGTCTACCAACAAAGTATCGTCCGAGCCACAGAATGTACGTTGTTAATAAAATGTAACATAAAATTGAAAATTCCTTAGGTTTCAATCGTATACAATGTTACTGCATAAGGGTACATTTAGGAGGGCCAAACCCACTGTTACTTAAATGGATTCAATCTGCACTAAGCGTTTCGTTAATGAAATTCAATCGCGGCGAAGCGATGCGGGGAGCAAATGATGTGGCGAAAAGATTGATAGCGGCCTCAGGGACGGGACCAACAACTACCTTTAGGTACGTGAACTACTTTAGCTGCTAGTTCGGTCAAATCACATGCTCCGCCAATCACTTGATGACATCGTGAAAACAGTTACCAATTCTGATTGCAATTCTATGATACACACTACTTGTAAATTCTTAAGCCCTCATGTTCAGTAGTCGTAAAATGTGTCTAACAACTCCCAAAAAGCTCTGATCGAAATAGGATTCGGTTTTAATTCCATTTTTATAAGGGAAAAGTTAGTACCGGGCGAGTACTACCGAACTATTTTCGTCCGGATGGTGCAGTGTGACGGCGCGCTGGACCGTGCTGTTGCCACAACGCAATGGGCCGGACGTAATCCTCCCACCGAGCTGTTAGTTTTTACGGGCGCCGTAAAGTAAAGAGCGGCTCACATCGATCGTCTACCACGGTTAATATTAAAAGGCATAGTGGTTAATGCTCCGGCTTCTGCTTTTATTATAGGTCCCAACAGTGATCGATCAAACGCGAGTTCCGACAAATGCTTCATTGTTCCTGCTCCGAAGTTCGGCTATGGAATTGTACGTTTTGGATTTACCTTGGCGAAGCTCTAGTAGCGTTACAACTTTAGCGTGTGCCATTTGGAGGGTGTGTACCGTTAGGCATTCTATAGTTCCGATGCCTACAATAATATTGGAGTAACTTTCGGTCGTAAACATGATTTCTCTGATTAGTTATGTGAAGTTAATTTGGAGCAAAATGTTCTCGATTTCCTCGCGTATTGTCTTGCAACTTATTAACTAGGTGGCGACAGATTGTTTGATGTTACAGATAAGTGACCATTTTAACGAAAAATCGCGGGTAACTCACGTGAATATACTGAGAAAAGCTCTACCAGTTTCGAACCTGTTTCTACTAGTTCCAGTAGGCTGCGCGACTTGCTCATGAAGAAGAACCCGTCTGTGGTTCGAAACGTTCGAGAGGTTTTCTCAGTAGGTATATTCACGTGAGTAACCCGCGATTTTTAGTTAATTTAGTATGTCTCACGATAGTTATTATAAAAAAGTGATAATTTATTAGGAACAGTGCGATCATCATTTAAGTTAAAAATCTTTTCAGCGTCCAGATATGTGGACCTGACAGACATTAATAGGTATCTCGTATGCAACGTTCCCAATCCACTTTAAGCTTTGACAACGCATGCTATGTAACTAGATATGAATGTATATGTTAGGCAATACGTGGGCCGTTTGACAATTGATTAATGCAATTTCTCTGACTAGTGACGTTCGCCTGCGGAATTAGTTTCCGAAACGTATATTGCATGTAACTTGTCACATGCTATACGCACACATTGACAAATAATTGAAATCAATATTAATATGATATGGTTGGCTCATTAATGTTAATGTACAGATTCTATGGACATTATATGATTTCAAATTGATGCTTATATAGTTATTTACTGTTGTTCTATTAACTTGTCGGTTGTGGTTTAAAAAAATCTTATATAAGTTCCAGAGAAAGCATTAAAACGTTTTGTAAAGCGAATTTTTTGCATTAAGTTAAAATATAACATATAACGACGCCTACACGAAAAAACACTAAAACCCTTGAAGTGCACTAATTAAGAAACTCCTTACGTACATTATGAAAATAGCATTCAAAGTTATAAGAAAAAAGGGGAGCCAGTATTTTTAAAACAAAAAAAACTTTGACACAAGACGCCTTAAAAGTATATGAAGAAAACTTGCCTTATTGAAGTTACTAAAACAACTTCTGTTTACTTTTTAAAGATGCCATGCAAGTTTATACTTGTCTCATAACAATTCTACCACTTTCAGATACCAATTACGTTCATGTACCTATTATCAGGTATAAAAATAATATTATAAAGAGGAAAGATTTGTACCTATTTTTGTAATACTTTCGGGTACGCTTGGGACATTGTAGTCTGAAAAGTATACAATAATGTTGTGTAACTACAGATAATGTTTTAATTAATATATTTATTACTAATATTATAAAGAGGAAAGATTTGTACCTATTTTTGTATGTTTGTAATGAATAGGATCAAAAAGTACTGGGCCGATTTACAAAATTCTTTCACCAATAGAATGCTAAATTCTTGCAATTTGACATAGGCTACATTTCATTTTGAAAAAAATTAGGGATCCATGGCAAAATTTGAACAATGTAACCGAAGGTGTAGAAAAATGAGTTTTAAAATGTCTTTCGTCGAATGCGCTGCCGAAACTATTAGCGATAGAACAAAATAATGTGCAACAATATTGAAGAACATCATAATGTCTACAAAAAACTCCGCAGTAGCATATGTCCAACTATTGTAGTTTAGTCACTACAAAAATCCAAATTTTCAAAAACAAATCCCCGTGCGAAGCCGGGACGGGCTGCTAGTCAGGTATAAAAATAGATTATCTAATTAACAATTTTGATTCTATTTTTTTACCGTAGCTGTAACTCCACGGAAATTGATATTTTGTTCAATAAACTGGGGAAATACAAATTTCTGTTGGCTGTTCCACACATTGCTCACTGATACATACCTATAGGTGCTGAAATACCTATAGGTACGTTAATTTATTGTCTTTTCATTATCATTGATTTCTGTTTACATCGTTTGTTTTGCTTCTTATTTAACTATATTCAAAATTAGGATTTATTTTGTTTGCATGACTTGATCTACTATAATTGGAGAAGCACAAGATATCTATTTTTTTGTATTATCATTGTGAATGTTACGTGTATTCTCTGTTGGAAATCATTTTTAAATAAATAAACCGCCACACACAAACCCTTAAAGCGACAACGTTTCCTTTTTTTCTGTCACAGGAAAATTATAAATCAATAAATTGCCTAGATTAAAAAAAACAGAGTCGAATATCTGTCTCTAAAGCACCAAAAACATCTGTGACATATTACTAACACAAAAATCCTGAGGTGCCTGATTCACACAAAAACCACGAGGTGTCTCATAAACGCGAGTAATCTGTGGACTCTGTGGTATCTGGCAAGCATGCAGAGAATTTTCTCTTGCTAGAATACTTTAATATTACATATCAGTATAATAATTTATTTGAACGAAATATACTCTGCAACTGCGAGGTATTTCTTTTAATAAATAAATGCTCAGCTTAGAAAGCTTTGACTTAATGAAACTTTTTTCTATAATAAGTTGTTATTAAAATACTGCACTTTATTATAACACGCTTTACTGCGTTTCAAATAAGACTGACATCTTATGAAAGGAGAGATAAAGGAGAAAGAGTTTAGTAAAATATTATCCTAGATCAAAAAAGCAATAAGACATTTAGATATTAAACTTCTTAGACTGCCTCGTTGGCCGAGTGGTCGCAAGTGCGATTGGCGGGCAAGGGGTCTCGGGTTCGATTACCAGATTTGGCAAAATAATACAGGTTTGAAAAAAATCTCAGTAGTAGCACGGAGTTTGGAATTGTGCCCGGTATATGGAAATAGGCTCACCCTCTATTACATGGGACTCATAACAGTGAAAAGTGGGTGTTACATTGTACAGTGGCATTACGTGCCGTAATGTGCACCTCTGCCTACTTCGGAGATAAAAGGCATGATGTTGTTATTTAGAAATAATAATTTTGGTGCTGACTACATTTATTGGTCTCTTGAAGTCAAAAGTTTTTGACCATTAAATAAGTGTTGAGCATCAAAATTTATCTGGATTTTTATAGTTTGATTCAAACTGTGGATACATAAGGGTGTATTACTGCACAATAGAAAAAAAATACAGATTTTGAAATAAAGCTTATTGATTTTTTTTTTCCTGTGCACATAAGACAGGGTCGGAGTAGGTGGCAGTTTTTATGACGCGACTTTTAATACATGTGATTATTTCATAATAGGTTATACTGGGATATGTTTTACACTATTGTCTATTTATCTAGGACAAAACCAATTTTTGTGTTGGTTTCTGCAATATTGCAGCCTGATATCACATAACTCAGACAAGAAGCCTCAACAAAATCTTGAAGATAAAAACTTCATGGTTGAAAACGATTTTTGTAGTAGTTTTATCCGTTGTATTGCAATAGGATCTGCCCGTTTAGTTTGCACAAGTTGTGCAAGTAATCCGAGCAAAACGGATTATTAGGGCTTGCTTTCGTCTTTTATTACGAACTACTCACAACTTAGCCTCCTTTTATTCTACGATCATATAATTTTATTATTATTAATTTGGCTGCATTTTTTCTGTGAGCTGCGCGACGTCGCCGCGACCGCGCACGCTGCTCATGAGGAAGAACCCTTCTGTGGTTCGAAACTAGTAGAGCTTTTCTCAGTATATTCACGTGAGTAATCCGCGATTTTAGTAAATTTAGTATGTCTCACGATAGTTATTATAAAAACATTATTAAATTTATTTTAAAGTCTACCTATCTACTTTACCTTCCACTTCGAAAAGAACCATTTCTCCTAAGTCGAAGAAGTTGTCCTTCTTGAAGAAGCTATTTATTATATTTCTGTTTCAGACTGATTAGTAGACACAGTTGAATGAGATCAATGTGTATTTATCTAGATCTAACTAATTCAACCGAGGTCATTGGCCATGTTCAGCAATGAGTTTTTTTTGTTGATATGATGACTAATGCAGTCGGCTGCATAACCACAATTTATTAATTATAAGCATGAATTTTATTAGGCCAGAATTTACCAATCAAAAGTAAAACCAATCCCATCAAAACACAACACAAATCAACTGTCAGACACTTGAAACGAACAATTCACGCGCATCAATTCAGTGGAATCATGAATGCATCGCAAACTTCCCACATCAAGTGACTTCCATAACACAAAACTGGCCATTCACGTAAAAGGAGTTTTGGAAAACAAACATCAAGCAAGGTAGTGAGCGTCGAGCGTCAGAATTTGGAACCGTAATAAACTTTGAAAGGGCCGTAAAAGAGCAATAACTGTAACTCGGCGAGAGAGCCTTGATTTTAGTGGCGTTGGGACCGCGCCTCGCGATAACCTATTAATTGATCTCTAATGTCTTTGTCAAATGCAGTGTGAAGGGACACCTTTTCTTTTGGATTAAAATATCTATACACTGTTTTTTTTTTATTTTTAATCTATTTCGTTTTCTTCCCGCGGCAGAACAACTTGCCCTAAGGAGTACTTTCAATGTCTAAAGTAAGAACAAAAAAATAAAGATGTATTTTTTTCTAAATTTGTAGGCACTATTCGCATCCCACGTACTACCCGACGAAATATACCTTTTCAAGAATTACATGGCGTGATATTTTGATAATATGATGAGTTCGTATGCGCTTTCGAAGATTGCTTTTTGCAATGGTTCACCAATTATTTTTTTGTTTCAAACATTTTATTTCTTTGTTAAACTATTGTATTAAACAGAATCATTTTACTTCGGGACGAAAACGACATAAACACAGTGTATTTTTGATGAATACTAATAATTGCACGGTGTATTTTTCATTAATAGTAATAATTTGCTCACTCACTCTTACGGCCCATAATCTTCATGCGGGTGTCATAAGTAAGTCAATTTCCCTTTGACAGAGATCAGACAGCAGCGCTCTTTTATAAACCTAAACATTTTAAAACCGCGACCTCCTACTTGTCTACCAAACTTTGGAGATTACGGCAAACCTTTTAATAGACTGAATTTTGTAGAGACCTTAGTCCCGCATAGGACTCAAATTGCCACGGTATAGTCTAATAAGCTCTGTACAAGGAATGATTACCATCTGCTACAATCGTGAGAAGTTTGATTCAATAAAATGAATTTCTTCAAAATATACGATGGCAATTAATAATATGGCAAATAATTATAAAAAATATTAGCATTTAACATCGGATTTCCAAATAAGACGTAGAATAAAGAATGTAACTAGATTAACGAATAAGTACTTTAAATTCTTTCTTTCATTCCATTCCTTTAAAATTGCGCCATCTCCTCGTTTCATAGAGAACTTTCATTTGGACTTGAATGCAGACATTGCCATAATATGTTCGTCTACTCGACGCTAGGGGGTGAGAACAACGTAGCAGGCGAGTCGAGAGCTGCGAAGAGAAAGTATTCCGCTTTTGCTACTCGCCACTAGATGGCGCTGACAGTAAAACGCTGAATTTCTTCAAATTATTCGATGTCAATTAATAATATGGCAAATAATTATAAAAAATATTAGCATTTAACATCGCATTTCCAAATAAGACGTATAAAAAAGGATATAACTAGATTAACGAATAAGTCCGAAGATGTTACAAGGGATAAGAACGGTATCTAAAATAACAATCTAGATGGCGCTTTGCAAAAAGTCGTACAGAAAATTGTTTATCTGGGAAAGTTAGACAGGACGCTCATGAATACATAGGATTTTATATATTCTATGCAAATGATGTGTCGTAGCATTTTTTTTTTCGTTACGACATGTATCATAAGGTTATTTTACCTTAATTTCAATAAGATATTCCCTCTCTCTCTCTCTGTTCCCATTATTATATCGTAAATGCGGTTATTATTTGTTTACTAAAATAAAATCAATACTTACAAACACTAGCATTATGAAGAAAGCAGCAATGTATGAACTGCGGGCAGTCAGCATCGACACGAAGCGATAATGTTCGCCCGTGATGACATTCCTGTAATTAAATTAACGAAACAAGATTAATTATTTATTTACAATATAATGGAAATGTTATTACAAATATAATAATAATAATATAAACCTAGCATTACGCTGTTTGCTAATAAGTAGGCATGGTTTTTGTTCATATTGTAAAGACTATTTTTAAAGATTAACTTTAAAGACTAACTTTTCTTTCCCAATTTTTAACCCACCATTTTCTAATAATTGTATGACAAGGGCACGAACCAAGAGTCCGTGGAGAAATAATATGAATATATAAAAATAAACCAACCATTTACACTCAAACCACAAATACCCTTTTGTTAAGGGGTGAAAATCATCGAATGACTGCTCCCGCCTGGGTGAGGCGGGAGGGAGTGTCAGATTCTTACTGACTAAAAACCACCCCGTTCCTTCTCATGCACATCGAGACGGAGCCCCGGTAACCCGTTAGGTTCTCCGCGACTCCGAATCGGAAAAATACCGACCCTACTGCCAACACTAGGTATAGTGTGATTTGTTCGCAGCGAGATAGAAGGATGTATGTCGCGAATGTTTAAGATGTTGTGAAAAGATAGACGGCTGATGAATAGTGTAATCTTTATAAATAAGATACCTATTACTTATTACATACTTCCATACTCAGTGCTATGCCTGGGATTTAGAAATCCCAATAATAATTAACCAATCTACCCAGTGAAGATAACGCGACAAATGTGAATATCAAAATTCATCCCCAACTAAACATGATAATTTTACTATACTATACTATACTATACTAACCAGACAAAGACACATACCTCAGATATCCCTTATTGTCCTCCTGCTCAGCTAAGGTCTTGATGGATGCCATGAGCAAGTCGTCATACCCCAAGAATTCGTCAAGCACGAATCGTGAAAAGGGATCTCCGAAGCACTCATCGCGTTGTGGGTCTAATGTGACTATTTTGACCGGAATTTTGAGACGAAGTCGCGCGCTTGGAGATAGGCGAAGGAAACCATACTCTAAGGAGTACTCGAGAATATAGTCCTCATCTGGAATTTAAAAGAAAATATTAGTTATCATAATGTTAGGGTATTTGTTGATGATGGAAATTGTTTTAAGACTTTGTTCTGATAAATTCAACCACACTAACCGAAGAGACACGCTCTTCTCTCTTCTCACTTTATGATAATTGTAGAGGAAGTGAAAGAGTCAAGTAAAAATCACGTTTCGTTATCTCTACGTTCTATGCCCTCTAAATATTTGGAAACAGGTAAAAATCTCCTTCCTCTTCCTCTCTCTTTTGATTAAGATAGCCATGAGGGCTATAACATTGGACTATAACTGTGTGTAAACAGCAAATAAGGATATTGTACTCATATTTATGTTATTGTAAAAATATTCTATTTACCTATCAATAGCATTCATTGACATTTTGAATACAACGCATATAATTAACGAATGCTGTCATTCGAGTGGATTAGAATAAGCTTATTAGGTTTTACGTCAAACGAAGCCTTTCAATGCTGAGTTATAACTTAGAATTTACTCACATATAAACATTGCTTAAGATTACATTAACTAAACAGCTTGGAGTATTCAACCCAATACTACATAATTTAACATAAAAATATTGCGTTTAACTATCGTGAAACATACTAAATCAACTAAATATGGGGGTTACTCACGTGAGTATACTGAGAAAAGCTCTACTAGTTTCGAGCCACAGAGGAGCTCACCCTCATGAGCAGCGTGCGCGGTCGACTGACTATGTCGCGCAGCCTACTGATATCGCCGCGACCGTTTTTCTCAGTATATTCACGTGAGTAACCCGCGATTTTTAGTTAATGTACTTAAACATGTTTATAATGCGAACTTATCACATATTTTATTTACGTGTGTATAACAGTACGGTTTTTAATCCCCACTTAGGTAGGCACAGGTACAAGTATATAATGTAATACCCACAGCAATGTTATAATAATTATGTCTCTATCGAATAAAATAAGTGTAAATGAGTAAATATCGTGCAATACACACCTTTAGAAGAGTCGTTAGAAGCAGACTCCTCCAGAGACTCCTGAAACAGAAGATAACATAAATTAAGATACTTTTTCTAGAAATCTTGTGTAACCTGTTTGTCACGTCTATTATTTATAAAAGGACACGTTTATTTCAGTCCAACAGACATATATTTAAAAAATATAGGTAACACATGTTTTTTTTCCTAATACGAACATATTTATACTTTATTTATAATATAACTTTAGTGAGACATACAAAATTAATTATTATGTTTTTCGGCTTAGTCAAGTAATCAACCATGCTAGAGGATCATATTAACATGAGCCACTAGCAAGTCAAATTAAGGTAAAGAGGTAAGCTTGAACTCAAGTAAAAATAATACACATACGAATAATCAGTACTATAATGATGTGCTAATTTGTTTATTATGCAAATAACCTATCATAGTTAATTATATTCATTCATATTATAACGGTTATTTAAGGAAGGTAACAACCTACGTTTCTCACAACTCTTTATAAAAAAAGGTGAACGCCCGATAAACAGTTAACAGATTTAATTAAAAAAAACCTTTAACGATAACCAAATTATTAATTTCAACTAACTCTACGTTTGCGAAAACCTGTTTGCTACGCTTTCACGCCTCAAACTCAAACTCAAAAGCATTTATTTCTATTAAATCATAATTTAGTACTTTTGAAACGTCAACAAATATAAAATAATTAATACTTAGTCTGTCATTCTGTCCGTCAGTGAAGTTAGGTCTAAATCACTAAACTAATTTCGACGATTTTGTTACAGAAATAGATGACATCTGGACTTTTGTATGCTATGCTTGGCTGTGGTTACAACCTACTTATTTTAGGTACGTAAACTAAATTTGAAGTTAGAAAGGGAGTGTTCAATTAATTACATAACATCACGCCTTTCATCCCCGAAGGGGTAGGCAGAGGTGTATATTATGCCACTGTACAATGTAACACCCACTTTTCACTATTTATGTTATGAGTCCCATGTAATAGGGGGTGAGCCTATTGGCATATACCGGGGACAATTCCAGACTCCGTGCTACTACTGGGAATTTTTGAAAAACCCAGTAATACTTTGCCCGACCCGGGAATCGAACCCGAGACCCCTTGCCTGGCAGTCGCACTTGCGACCACTCGGACAATGAGGCAGTCAATTAATTGTCCCTATGAATTATGTTTATCATATCGTAATACTATGTCTGTTACTTTGAAAATATTCGGAATGCACGTGCACCTAGATATGTACACACGGCGACACATCAATCTATACGAAACCAGTTTATCCTGGTGTCGCGTCGCATCATCTTTCCGCACATTTAACGTTCAGCTTATACTGGTTATATAAAGCCCGATGTGTAGCCGTGCGTACGTATGTATAATCCACGTAGGCATAATCAAGCGTGCAAATAATAGCCATACAGTTCATTATCAACACGCATAATTATATTCTAAGGCATTATTAACCACTTAATCGATAAGAAATCTCAAACGTAATCAATTATCATATTAACGACTGCATAATCTGATTAAGTTTTTGTTCAAACGACGTTTCTATAGTGCTGTGTCAAAGTGCAGTAGTACTAACTTATTGAGTAGGTAGTTCATCTATATAGGGACTTTTTTTTAAGGGGGAACATCATCGAATGACTGCTCCCGCCTGGGTGAGGCGGAAGGGAGTGTCAGACTCTTACTGACCAAAAACCACCCCGTTCCTTCTCCTGCACGTCGAGCCGGAGCCCCGGTTACCCGTTAGGTTCTCCGCGACATCTATATGGAGGAGGGAGGAGCCGTAACAGGCGTTACACCCTGGAGGCTTCGAGGTTGATCTACTAAGAGGACCCAGTGCCTCTTTCAGATGCGGATGGTGGCCACCGGGGAGGTAAAGATCCCACACTCCTTAGTCTTTTTCCCCAAAAAGCTAGGCGCCTTTTGAAGGTTTCCCCCCGTCAAAAAAAACGTAGTTCATTTATAATAATTCTTTAGTAACTATTGTGAGACATACTGCATTAACTAAAAATGAAGGGTTAGTGACGTCTAGTTTCGAGTCACAGAGAGACTCTTCCTCATCAGCTGCGTGCTTGGTCACGGCGGTGTCGCGCAGCCTAGTGCAGTAGAGCTTTTACAAAACATAACATCACGCCTTTTCTCTCCGAAAAATAGGCAGGGGTATAAATTAGGGCACTTAATGCTACTGTACAATGTAACACCTACTTTTCACCATTCATGTTATGAGTCCCATGTAATAGAGGGTGAGCCTATTGCCATATACCGGGCAAATTCCAGACTCCGTACTAATGTTGAGATTTTTTTATTTTTTAAACCCAATAATACTTTGCCCGATACATGAATCGAACCCGAAACCCCTTGCCCGGCAGTCGCACCTGCGACCACTGGATCGCACGGTAGTCATAGTCGTAGCCGCATTATAATTGGTAGTGTCATTTAGGTACGTAAGACCTATTTCACTATGTCTGTTTAAGTTTCTGTTACTGACGAACAATTTGAAATTAAACTAATCCAATTTTAGTATTATGATAGTAGCAAAACTACTGTTTGAATTGTAATCTCGACATGAGAAAAAAAATCCCCGAGTTCATCAAATCATCAAAGGCGTAGAGTAAAAACAATATAAGTATGTATAATTAATTAAACAATAGATGACATTCCACAGACATTTAAACAAGCAAAGGACTTCATCCTAATAAAACCTCGCGCAAATCTCAAGTATTATTCAAAACTGGTTCTTAATCAAACATACTTATGACTCAAAGTTAGTTTTTCTAAATAATATCTAGCGGTCACCTGATGTTCGTGATTGAATTGCATTAATTTTTTATTTTTGTAATAACAATCAGCCTGTCATTACACGAAGGGTTAGATAGAGGTTGAACTTAATGGGTTCATCTCTATCAGCAGATATAGGAGTATTGGTCGGACTGCAGTCTGGACCAATCTAACTGTCTTATCGATATATATTTCGACATATATACGTATTTATATCGATCTTATGGAATTTCATTTGCTTTTTTTTTAGACAAGAGGGTAAAGAGTCCATGCTTCTTTATTTATCTGCTTAACATAGCTGTAAACTGCCTGCTTACACTTGCATCAGCAATATATTATTATGTAGGTACTAATAAAAATGAAATCAATGCTATTTTTCAGCTAGCTTGACCAGATGACTGTCAAACACCAAGCGGTCACCGGTGACCGCAACCTATTGTTCTATAATGTCGCGGAGAACCTAACGGGTAACCGGGGCTCCGACTCGACGTGCAGGAGAAGGAACGGGGTGGTTTTTAGTCAGTAAGAGTCTGACACTCCCTCCCGCCTCACCCAGGCGGGAGCAGCCATTCGATGATTTTCCCCCCTCAAAAAAAAAAAAATTCTATAATTGTGTCTATAATGACGGTACTTGACGAGTTAAGATTCCAGAGAGAGTATTGAAACACAAAAATAAAATCACCTACAAGAAGACGCGACACTAGAAAACAGGTCATTCACAGTCACAGCCACACACTACTTGATAAGATTGGACAGCTACAACAAATATAATCGCGAATCACCATGTTTACCTGAGGTCAGTGCACTTACACACAGAGTAAACAAATCCAAATTTAATATTGCAAGCAATTTAATATCTGTATAAAGAAATATGAATCACCAACGTTTTTGTTGTTCGTTAGAAAATCCAAAATGAATTGTTGTTCGTTAGTCTCGCTAAAACTCGAGAACGGCTGAACCAATTTGGCTAATTTTGGTCTTGAAATGTTCGTGGACGTCCAGGGAAGGTTTAAAAGGTGAGAAAAATATTTTTAGGCGGTACGGAGTTTGCCGGGTCAGCTAGTGGATAATAATTTTTGAAGTGTTCATCGTCAGGACATATTTTGAAAGGAGATATAAGAAAGAAACGTTATGTTGTATGTTGATAACAAAATAAAGGATAGATAAAGGTATTACATGCATTTTTAACACATTACTGTATCATTCTTTGTCAATAATACGGATGAGCCTATTTCTAAAACCAAACATATGACTAGACTACTGAGAATTTTTTTAATCAAACTCCTTGAGATCTTGGGACTAGCACAGCAGTTATGCTAACGACCTTGCGATATCACAATAAGTGACAGACAATATAATAATGTGATAAAACACAACGTCATTATTTACAAGACCAGAGGAACAAAAACATCTTGACAATAAAGAAATACTTTCCTTTAGTATTCTATTGTCTTAAGAATCTTTAGTAAGGAGTAATGAAATATATTATGCATAGCGACATTTCTTTGTCAACTCATCGCAGTAACCACATAAAAACCAATTTTATCCACACTACAATTAAAAATATAAGTTGCTCTATGTATATAATCTACAGTCGTAAAATTATTGACGCAGCTAATTGCTTTGTATTTACATTTTTGGAACAAACATTCGAGTTTCAAAACTACATTGAAAAAAAGAGGAAAATCACAAAAGATAAATAATTAAGTTTTTATAAAACAAAAAAATACTCACGTCAACCAGTTTAGACTCTCTGTCTATATCTTCAACAAGCCCCATAATACCTTCCCATAGCGAAGCAGAATGTTCAACAATATCTGCTCCGGAGACTATTGTTGCATTGAGGTCCACCTCCTCACTCGTTCCTCCTCCATCAGGTTTCACAGAACTAGTTTCAATGACTTTATCCGGAGAGGATCCCTCAGTATCGTCATGAACTCTTGTAATATTACCGTAGTCAGTTCCATCGCGAATGTAATCATCGTCATCAACCTCGTCATTTGTAGACGATTCAATGTTAATGAACCTGAAATTGTAGTCAAGCAATATTGGTATTTACATAATAATTACATTAAGGTACATTTTTACACAACACTATGTAGAATCAGTAGTTGGTTCAATAAATTAGTAGTGGAAAGGAATATTAACTCGCAATACTTGTAAAAACATGGTACGGAATATGTATTTTGATAATAATTGATAAAAACTTCGTAAGGAAAGTTAAATAGTAATAGAGGATGAAATTTCATTGTCTTATTAAAAGAGAAGTCATTATGATACTGACATTGAATCGAAGGTGTGAATATAAATGAGTATTGTATATATTGTGCGAATTCTTATGAAATATAATTTTTGTCTACCTCTACAAACTGTAACCTTAAGTACTTACCTCGTTTGCCTATCAATTACAAGACAAAAGAAATTATAGTAAGGGCTTTTTAGAACTAAATTATAGTAATTATAATAAGGGACGAAGACTACACATATGACAAAGTATCAATCAAAATAGACTATTTAAGTTTTAAGTGACTACAGTATTGTTTCGATTAACACAGTCCTCCACATACATTAATTACTTCAACATAATCTCATAAATAAATAACAGTTAGGTAATTACAGTGAAATTGTATTACAATTCTTAAATTGGAACGGGAAATGTAAGATTAAAAAAAAATAGAAATCCTTTTTACATGTGTGGTTTTATGACTGGTGTACTGTTTCCTAGTAATAATTTTAATAATTTAATAATCATTATTATTTTTATTGCTTGAGTTATTAAGATTATCACAATTATTTATGTGTTATCAACATGCAAGAATTTAAAATTAAAATGTATTGTCCTATATAAATTCACTATCAGTCCATGATTATACATATTTTGACCTCTAAAAAATTGTTTTCAAAAATGATAATTTAGCCATTCTTACTATAACCATACCACAAAAATCAAACAACAACAATTGTTTTGTTTAATCTAATCAAATAATATAGATCATGCTTACACGGATATAAATTACGGCATCACTTCAACATGGTCATGATGAGCATGTCATGCACATATTTTAATTAACACAATTTTATAAAAAAAAATATTGATTGCGTAAAACCTCATTCCTAAAACTCTTTTTGACAAGAATACAGTATTGTTTTTACTGATAAAATGCCTGTCATTGTCCAGTGTTGTTAAATAAATTATAATAATTCTAAACAATATTATGTGACCCTGTTATTTCCTCATTGTTTGTAGAAATTATTTTTAAAAGTTTATTGTATGTTTATATGTGATTTCACTTCTTATTTAATTTAAGCGGAACTTATAGGTATGTTATGCCGAAATACTCAAACTCCACTCAATTTGAAGTCATGATTAAGTATAGTTCTGTCGCTACAAATTCTTTGTAAAATGACAGAGATGGCACAATATTTAGGTACAACTTAAAATTGAGTAGCTTTTTAATATTCAGGCGTTAGTTATAAGAATTTTTAATGGCTCACCCTTCTGTCGCCAACATTCCTAACATAGAATTCAATTCCTCTTTATCCTTTTTCAATTTCCTCTCCTTAGCATAACTTTGTTCAATGGTATAGTCCTGTGCTGGGTTCCTCAGTATCTCAACTCTCAAAATGCCATCCCTCGGCCATGAGTCCTTCACATGGTTCAAACATGTTGTAGGAGTTCTTGAAAATGCTATATGAATATATGCAAGAACGAAAAATGCCACTAGCGCTTTTAAAAGCACAAGGAACTCAAAGAATCTCCGCAATGGCCTCGGGAATGTTCGAGCATAGGCTAGAGCAAATTTGAAAAATAATGCATGAAATAACCTCTCCCTCATGTTAAACAAGGGATTCTGGTTATTATTCCTATTTCTATTCATTGTCGGATTTATTATGGGACCTCCAGGCAACAAGTTGTTGTCCACATTGACTCCAGGTGGCAAGTTGTTCATTATCTGTGGCCCACCGGCACTCATACCTTGTTATTGTTACTATGTTTTCACCCAGTTCTTCTGCCAAATTGTTATAGCTACAACATTCTTATTATCTGCAAGTGAAAGTTTTAACTCAAATTAAAAACTAGAATTTAACCTCTAGTATAATGTCAAAGTTAGAGGACACCCATACAAATGTTGCCAAATAAACTAACTGTATTGATGAATGGACACATCAGATTAATAATTAATAGGCCATTTGTCGCGTGAATTATACATACAGCAAGGGAATCGCACGCGAATCATATCATCAGACGACATATGGACGAAAAACCTCAATATAAATAAACATCAGAACCAAATAGTGTGCAAAAACAATCGCTGCAATATGGGCGATAAGCATTGAATAACAAGCGTTACTGATGAAGTGAATGAGTGTAGTATCAAATAATTTTAGGCCAAAGAGTAAAAGTAAATGAGCACCTTATTATTATACATACCCCTGAACTTAGGTCAAAAACGATATTACCGTTATATAATCACTATTTTTATATATTTCCTGTTGTTTTCTACCATTAATTATTCTCAAAATTATTTCATAAACTCGCAATTCACTTTCTATTTGATAATTACGAGATAAATAAAAATGAAAACTGTCAAAATCTTGACATGACAACTTGTCATTTGACGTAGAAGGCATTTGTTCATAAACTTCGTGAGTTTGATGCGTTCAAAGATTACAGTTTATTTGTTTATGGATGACACAGATAATCAAAAATATTTAATTTGATCGACGTCTTAAATAGCTATACCTATTTAAGTCAATAATTTAATGGTTACAAAAAAGCAAATAATTAATTATTTCCAATATTGTATTTTGAATTGAATAGCCGTAAAAAGTATTTGTGTCAGTCAATGTTAAGACTACGTTTTAATAACTTCGAGACATATCTGCTAGATGGCGCTAAGCGGAGTATTTTTTTTTGTAACATGCTTCATAGGGACAAACTAAAATTAGTAATTTTTTAGTTGTATTATATCCTTATATTCTTAATTTTATTTTACTTTTTTTAAGAAAGAAAGAAAGCAAAAGCGTTTATTCAGCATCAAATAAATATGATCGGCTTTGCTATACATAAGGATGATTTTGCTATTTGCTATACATAGGTACACACATTTGCTATATAAGGGAGGATACACAAGTTATAATCTAACTCACGTAATTATATTAATGATGGAGAATGGTGAATAAGTTCAGTTGATGGTTAGGTTTCTCCTGATATGCAGTGAATATTTTGCATGTATAAGGTGACTCCTATTTTCTTTTATCCGGCCTAAAGTGTTATAAGGTATCTCCATAAAATTAAAGAGTACCTAGCTTATTGCCCGACGCGGGAATCGAATATAAGTATAGTATTTAGCTGGTCAAACAGTCACTTATACTTATGTATACCTCTAAAAAAGGAAAATAAAACCAGTGTATAAACTGTTCCCTAGGTAGGTACCTACTTGGCCTACCTGCCTAACACTACTAGATACCTACTACTAACATCGATTTTTTTTGTGAGATTTTGCATATGTAACCAGGAAGTATATCTACTACTTTATTTGCTAGAAATAGCGTAATTACTTATGGACCAAACCGGCTTTTCATCTGCTTAAAGTCAACTTCGTCTGTCAGCATCTTAGGTTTTGAATTATACCTATTACCTAGGCTACAGATTACATAACTAGTTACAATTGATTCATGATGACTATGAGTCATCCTTCGGTCCCTCCTCCTATAGTAAGTTTAGTTTTAAAAGAAAGCTAGAAAGACAAACTTAACGAGAGACGTACCTACCTAATTTCTATTGTCCAGTTTCTTCCGGCCACTGCAAAAATTAACAAAACAAAGAAGTCCCTTCATGCCAATAGAGAACGTAATAATCTACACCTTTATCTATAAACTATAGCTGCAATCTCATAAAGCGACTGAATGCGTTCACATAAAGAAGCTGCAGCAATTTAATGGGTCATTTGCAATACAAAGCACGGGATTTACAAGTCCGGAGACATGCAGAGAGGCAATGAAAAGACGCAATGTGACTCCATCACAAAACCCCATGGAATTATAACAAAAACCCACCATTACCTCTACAGAAAGTGTGATTGACGTCCAAATTGTGCACGAGACTTGTAAAGGATTTTTTCATAATAAATGTCATCTATTCAAAGTTTTAATAAGCAAAGACTGAATGATAGATGCAAGAAAAACTCTATTGAAATGTCGATCGCTAGTACCTTTTACCTGAGCACGTCACGTGTCGTGTGAACGGGATTAATGGCCAGAAAAGATGTTGTGTTTTTAAACTTTTATTGCTTTATATCCAAGAACGTTTTTCCACTGAACCTATAAATTCTTTAATAGTAACTTAAAAAGACTAAGTACTTTATTGTTGGTCATAAGCTAAAAAACGTTTTTTGATAAGTAACTTTCTATAACAGTGCCTTTAACTTGAAGTTAACGAACGTTTCTACTCTAAGCCATGTTTACTCATTATAGATCCCACTTAATACAAGTCGAAATGAACAGAGTTAGATAGAGGAACCAAGATAACGAGAGGTAAACTTAAATTACGGTCCGCTCACGTTATAAATATTCAAAAAGCGGTCTGGGCCGGTCTCTGCTTAGAAAAAATTGACGTCTCAATTATCGAAGGCTCCGCTTCGTTGGGACGAAGTTGTACCTCTTAATTTGTATTATTCTCACGACTTTTATTTCCTGTTGGCAGCTCACTATACTTAAGATCGCGCTGATCATCGCGTTTGGAGTCATCTCAGAGAATGAAACACATAAATTATGAATTTATAAGCAATTTGTTTTAAGTTGTTAGTGGATTTTTGAAACTAGTTTTTTTTGTAATCATTTCCATAATATGCGACATTTTCTTCATCCGGAATTTTTATGGTCAACAAGTTATAGGTATCTTATGATATGTGCTTGTGTTTTACTTAATCTTATGATGAAACCGAATTTGTAGTTTTCGAATTGATACCAAAGATTTAAATTAGAATAAATACTGCATCTTTCTATACCAAACATTTCTTAATTAAAAATACTAAGTAAGCACTTTACAAGCCACTAATTAAGATTGAATGCCGTCAATAAATTCCTGCTGTCAACCAAACCTCGGGTCGCGGTCGTAAGCGCTCGTGCCTAAATCATATTTCTTAGAATTACAGACACGTTATTGGAACTGTCATCGTCGTTAATATTTATTAGTTAAAACTTTATAAGAATATTTTTTTTTATTATCTTTATTTCGTTATGTTAGTAAAAATCGTCTTGCTGCTACCCTAAGATATCTCAAATTTATGAAGGCACAGCATGTCTTCTACTTCAAACTCCTCATCATTTTTGACAAGCACCTCCTCGTTTGTTTTATTTGAAGCTTCTATAAATTTATTTATTTATTTATTTATAAAGCTTCTTACAAGAACCCTCTTGTTAATATGATTGAGTGGAACTACATAAAACCATATAGATATCATGTTTTCAATGTAAGTAACTGGTAGATAGCTGCTTCCATTATCATAAACCCTTACGTATATACCTAACGACCGTATGCGAATTTTTGCACATGTTAAAACATTCAAAAAGCGTGTCGATGTCAACATCTTTAATGCAGAAGATACCTCCAAATACGTCGATAAGTGAGGCAACATGAAAACGTATCAGAACAAGTTCCTGTTCAAGGAAAAACTGAGAGTAAAAAAACAACCAAACTGCAAACATAAATGTGCAGTTGCCGTTGTGCGACTTTTTACACCAAGAAACAAACCCAATTTACCGGGTGCCGGGTGCCATATACGTAGGTACCTACAACCAGTTACGGCAATATGACACGGACGAAACATTTTATTTTCCATTTAATTTTATTTTAACACCGCTTCTCCGAAAGATTTTATCACCTTATGAATATTTTATTGGTTCGAAAATCGTATGCGCCATAAATTATTGTTAGATAAGTAGGTACATGTTAAGGAGACAATTTATTTGGTCGATCCTAAACGAATGTTCGTAAAGCTCGTAAACTTTCCTGATTTAGTTTACGGTTTGAAATGCCAGAGTTTTAAAAGAGGTTTGTAATTATTTGGTGTTGAACAGTAAATTTCAGTGGTAAAACTAGAAATAGTGTTTATTACCCAAATGTTCAGTGTATTAGAGTCAGGTAGTACTTAACGTCATCTTAACTGTCGTCGAATGGGATCGTTAATACCTATCTCCTTTACTACATAAGCGCACATAGGTAATTTATCTAGATGTAGAAGAGAAATGAATTGTATTCACAGAAAGGATCATTTCACACGTGAACGTTTTAATACTAGAGGTAATTAAATAAATACTTGGACCTGTATGTGCAGTGAGGGCTTTGAGAAGGAGGTATGAAAAGTGCATCGACCCTATGCATCTTCATCTCAATTAAGAAGCGTCATTGTTCGCAGATGACAATGTGTCTGGAACTGGCTTTACAATGGGCGGTTAGGCACCTCCCACTCGTTTCAAATGCTTGAGTAATAAGCAAAACAAAACAATTAAAGCCTTAACCTTTGTAAATGGGGAACAGCTGCACTTTGTGCCTAGGCAACCCATTGAAGAACTAAGTAACAAAAAAGTTAAAAGAAATATATTGAGCTCTCCCAAATTATGATGGCAGTGTTACTTGATACAGTTTTGCTAATTTGAAATTGTTGCAAGGTGTGACTATCCAGACAAGGTGCAAAATGATGATGCAACAGTCAGTTGACCTTTGCATACTTGTGCTTACTAGTACTCAGGTAATTGCCAAAATAATTTGTTTCAATGAATTGGAAGATTCTTAGCTAGCCATGTCATTAAATGACTCGAACACCACACTTCAAAGATATTCTACAACCACAGGAAATTCTTATTGTATGTAACTTAGAGCAAAATCTATGACTATGACTAAAAGCAAACCCTACACCTACATGCACGGGAGATAGTATGTATAGTCGTGGAGAACCTAACGGGTAACCGGGGCTCCGGCTCGACGTGCAGGAGAAGGAACGGGGTGGTTTTTAGTCAGTAAGAGTCTGACACTCCCTCCCGCCTCACCCAGGCGGGAGCAATCATTCGATGATTTTCCCCCCTTAAAAAAAAACACCTACATGCAACTAGCAATATAAATGGCGGCTATCAGTAGCAGTTGCACGATGTCACTCGCCACGATCGCGAACACTGCTCATGAGGAAGAGTCCCTCATTGACTCGAAACTAGTAGAGCTCGTCTCAAACCGCTATTATTAGTTATCTCAATACTGATATAACTAATAATAGTGGGACATACGTCCCACAATAGTCATTTTAAGAACAGGAGTAACCCACAATCTACTGATTACTTACAATTTCTACCCTTTTTATATTTCTGTCCCCTAGAGCCCAAACTACCAGCATATCAATATAATTCAAAAGTTCGACAGCGCTACAGGTGAAGTAAATAAAAAAAAGATTTTCTTACACTCATGTTCTATTCCCGATACAGTGAGGTGATAAGCCTCGCTCCATGATTAATCACCGCTCCATGCGGCTCTATGGCCACTCAAAAAAAGCAATTTGTTCTTTATTTTAGGAATGGCTCAAATTATTGTGGTCATGCTTTTTTTTCTCGTC